AGACCTCAGAGGTCATAACGCGTTTTGATTCTTAATCGAGGATAAATGTAGATGTCTAAGGGCCACAGCATACACTTACCATCATATGAATTGTGTGCTCGTTTGTCACCCTTATTCTATTTAAAAAAAAAGTTCCAGTTACAATTTTTGCCGCTAGTGGGTATTGACTTTAGAAAAAAGTGCTGTTCTCATGGGAAATTAATTATATATTGGTCTGTCTCGAATGGGAATTTCTATAAATCAATATACTCTGGTACCAGAAACCAACATAACTGCAAACATATTATAGAGAGAAGCTTTGCAGTAGTAAAAGATTTTATAATTCCGTATTAAGTATGTACGAGTATCATAAGTTTTATAATATAACAATTATTAGCGTTTGACCACTATCTCACCTGACGGTAAACAACGACGTGGTTAACGATGGAGCAAGCTTTCCTAGAAGTAACACACTATGATATGTGCAATTATCAGGATTATTTATTTTACTAACACCGCAGCCACTCACAGAACAAATTACCATTGTTGAATATAATTGTATTTACAAAATGCAGAAGCGTTGTTACCCGTGAGGATCAAGATAGAATGCCTCGTTTTCAGTAAATGGGGTCTCCGGTTCTCTACACTCACCACACGAAACAGCAGCGTTAAGCTGCTATTTTACGCTGCGAGAGCGTGGTCCTTCCCCGGTCAAGCCGACCCATTCGTGCTACAACTAAACTACTAATATAGCTACAGCATTTCTTTACCATATATAATAAACAACATCATGTAACGAAAAGCAGTCATAATGTTTATTTTAATAGATAATTTAGCGATTATTCGGCAATTGATCTTAATCTTACATAGTGATGTAAATAATGTTGTCGGTATCTTTATTTTGCATATTTCCTAAAGTCTGAGTAAAAATACTGAGTGGCTAAATCATATTAGTAGACAAAATTGGACTCCAAAGAGGCATAGTTATATTTGCTCTAATCACATAATTTGGTTCCATTTGTATGTAGGGAAAATATGAAATAAGGATGAATTAGAGAAGATGATGTTCATACATTACTTAATAAGTATGGATCAGATGTAAATTTAAGTATGGACACAGTCCTGCATATTCAAGGAAATACTCAGCAGCTAACACATGACCAGGAAGATAGGTATAACTTTTATATAGTGATTTATTAGCTCAGACGACGTTACTTAACTGGCTTTCAAGAACTTGGAAGATCTAAAAAGATATCAAAACACAAGCTTTGTAAAATTAACTTTCTAACTAGACGAGTATATTGGTCAGCAATGATTTAAAAAAATAATATGTAGCAAAAACAAATTGTGAAATAACTATAATCTGCGTTATCTGTTGCTTTATTTAAAAATTTACCTATTCAAAAAGTTGTATATGATGTGGACACTAACCAAAGTGTGTAGTTGTGTTGTTGCTATATATTTTAAGTTTTTTAATAGTAAAGACACATCCAAACTAGACCAGATCCCTGAATCAATAACTATTAAAAAGCTCTTTCTCATACTAATGATTCTAAAATAACACATTAATTCAAAATAAACTATTCTTTAAAAGTTTAGGGTCGAAAGTGACACTACGTTGTTTTTACAATTATTTATATCGATATTAATGTCGAAATTTAGAACACTACCTCAAATGAAACGTCAAACATGCTTGTGACAACCTTCGAAATTACGTAAAGGAATTGACATATTTACCTCTTTTTAAAAAACGAAGAGTAAAAGAGACAAGGGCAATCATCGACCAATTTCACTGGCTTAATATTAAACTTGATAATAATGTAAGAATACATGACAATTAATTTGGTTTTAGGATGGGTCTATCTACCAAAACCGCCATTTTAAAATTGAAACAGACCATTAGTTATTACACGGATCAAGTACACTCCTTTTTGCTTGCTTCCTCGATCTGTTGAAAGTGTCTGCCCTGGTTAGGAATGATATCTTAAGGAAAAAATTTGACAATATTGTAGCGACACGTAAATAGTGTACTCTTTCTAAGTTGGGTACTTAAGTCATATCAACGTAGTTCGGTGGTAGGGGTACTTCTCAAATCCATTTAGGTTGGAGTGTGTTGTAAGGCAAGAAAGGTTGATCTCGATCAATCTTTATCTAAACGCTATGATAGAGGAGCTCTGCAGCAAACTTCTTTTATGTGGGTAGGCTGCCACATACAAGAAAATTGTGTTAATAATATGCAGACGGCATGCTACTGTAGAGTGCTTCTGTCTGTGGGTTGTCGAAATTCATAGCTATATGCGAACGACATGCCCTTAGCCTTGGCATACTATAATAATAATAATAATAATAATTTTTATTGTCAAATAAAGCCTTAAACTTAATACAAAGTTATTGTAGATTAATTGTAACAAGATGGCTAGCATAAATGACAAAGAAATAAGTTGATAAGTTGATACAATGTGAATGGTCTTTCGGGCTAAGAGGAAGTGTCCAGATAATATGCCAGCAATAGAACTTAATGGTATACCTTTGAGAAAGGTAAAAAAAATTAAATATCTTGGATACCTGGTGACGTGACCTGAAGGATGATACAGACATTGAAAAGGAGCGCAGGGCACTGTCTGTTGGCATCACCATACGAAGCACAGCAGTTTCTCGGTCGAGACGACCTATTTGTACTACATCCATAATATCAGCTATATTGGCTCTACCACGTAAGAAAATGGCCTTATAAATATATAGGTTGGGATGTATAAATATATAAAAGCAAATAATAAATATTAATATAGTAAAATAAATAACTAAAAACTACATAAATAAATAAAAACCTAACCGGATGGCAGTCTTCGGCAAGGGAGACCAAACGGCTGAGGGTTGGGGGGAAAGAAAAGAAACCTGTGGACGATGCGGGCGGTATCGAAGAACACCACCTTCTGCATTTAAGCCGGAGCGGCCCGTCACGAAGTCCTAGTCGCCCCAGATGACCTAAAGAAGCTGACTGGGATTAGTCCGTTCGCAGAACAGGAATAATTCCGATCGGTACTCAACTCCATATATCGGTCACCTCGTGTTTAGATATTTTGTTCGCTTATCTGTTTAGGCTTTCATGAAGTTCTCATTGTACGGGATGGTAGTGTAGAACTAAAATATACTTGACTATGCCCGGGCCATCAGCACAATATTAGGCTTATTCGCAAGAATAGTCCTGTCTGTGATGATAGCCAGGTACCAGTATAGCCGGGCGTGGTAATTTTCGTAATGATATAAATTTTAAGGTAGTTTCTGATCCACGAGATCTACTACTATGGCTACTAGGTGGCGTCTGTGAAAATACTTAGCGTTAGACATCGCCGAACAACAGGAACTGACATACCTGAATGACTCACCGGGATGGTGACAAGCTCGATAGATATCGACGGTTTCATCCTTTATGATGTATCTCCGATAGCTATTGGTCTTAACAACCTGACTTTATCTATATCGAACAGAAAAAGCCTTCAGTTTTCCTATAGAGGTCACAAAACCAGAGGGGAGGCGACTGTATCTACGAAAGGCTTGTGTAGGGCCTTGTAGAACCTCCCTTGGATTTCTTTCTCTTTACATTCGGTCTCTCAGTCGGATACCTCTGTACTGCTGGATTTTGTCATTGCTTGTTGACTAAGGAAAGAGAAGTAAGTACTTTATCACACAAATTACGTCGTCGACGAATCCCATTTCGTCAAGAAGTACTTACGGAAGCTGTACACTTCGCGATTGTGCATGCTGAGGCTTCTGACGAACTCGAATGATGAATCCTATGGGATTTCAGAGTAGTGCTTTTCTATCCAGGACGTTTAGTTCAGTCTAAATCTACCTGAGTATACATAAGGACATGCATGCCCAATCGTTATATGCATGCACTTTTGTAAAGCGTGCATAAAACACATCGCGAACTGTTTCACATCCGCCTTATCGATACCTAAGTTCTGTGATATACCCAGGTATCGGCATGCTTCAGCCCCGGAATGGGTCCTTATGTTGATAGGCACAGATAAGTCTATGCCTTTAGAACGAGCATTTATTATTTTTATATTTTTTATTCTGTGTTATTTTAATATATATATATAATTCTTCTGTACGTGTGTTTGTCACTGAGCTCCTCTTATACGGCTGGATCAATTTTGATGAAATGTTTGTGTGTATTTGAGTGAGATCCTGGATGCTTTAGATTCATAATTGGACCCGGTAGGTAGCGCTGTTGTCGAGGTCCAGTAATCACCCGTGCGAAGCCGAGGCGGACCGTTAGTTATCTATACGTTAATACGTGAAGAATAAATGTTGTACCCTTTTTAAGCATATTGCGCATCCGGAGGAGTTTGAGATTTGGCATCTTTAATGTTTATATGGACAAGAAGCACAGAAAAATAAAATGTATATATTATATTAAGTATCAGAAATAGGTACATTAAATATGATAAAATAAAACGTACATTGTTTATGTTCATAGTCAATGTGTTCATGGTAGTATAAACAAATTATGTCGTTTGTAGACGTTCCTACTGCGAATGTTTCAAAGTAAGCATAAACATAATATTATGTCATTACTCCAAAGGCCAATGTCAAATTATGGACGAATTTCGACCAGTAGTTATTATTTATTTTATGATTATTGTTATTATATTTTATTTATTATTATGAATACTTATGCATTCGACATAGTAGTTTTAGTCATAATATAAATTTTAATGTATTTAATTTGAATGAATATAATATTGCGCTATGATTCTTGTTGGTCGAAATAAATAAATAATAATAATATGAATATGAGCGAGGCAATGTTCAGCAGTGGACTTTAATAGGCTAATGATTTGGAACTGAATCTTACATATTTTAGAATAAAAATGTATAACAGTCATAAATAAGAAGCGTTAATTTGGAATCAAATTTATGTAATCTAAGGGGAAGCTATAAATATCAATTTATTAATACTTTTAATACCAGTTTAGTGTCACTTATTTTTTCGCTTTCCTTCGAAATAAATATTAAGGTAAATGAGCTCCGGTTGGGTGAAAACCATTTTCATCGGCGGTATAATCTACTCTGTATTTAATACCATCAGCACCGAAATATTCATAAAAGCCTTTTACTCTAGTGCCACCTCCATTTTCTGTTGAATCTACAACTCCACTTTCTCCTGCACTTATTCCATTTTCTGTTAAGTAGCTGTAACGATAATTATGTACATCGAGATCACTATCTTGATTCACAATTCTAGCATTTCCCTCAAGAGTATTACTTCTCTGGTATACAGGCGAACCAGTTACTGCAATATTGCTTTTCGTTGTCAGGGTGTAAACAGGAGCAGTAGTCGTGGGTTTTACAGTAACCGGTCGATAAGATGAGGTCACTTGTACTGCATTATTCCTGTAAATAAAATAAGCTTTCCAAATATTGTGATAACGATAAGATTTCTGTCACACACCAGTGTGTCTATATCTTGAAACTTTAAACTATTTAGAAATAGAGTTTCATGCTAGAAATCAGTCAGATGAAAATGGTCACTACTATTTGTTCTGGACATATTAATATTATTTGTACTGTTTCAACGATTTCCTTATCTTATATTGTTTATAATTTTTAACATGGTAGCTACTATGCTTATTAGTCGTGAACAGTCCACTGCTGGACATTATTCTCTTGAGGTTATCCAAAGGCAGATTGGGCATCAAATCAGACACATTGAACTCTACTGCGGAGAGTAGAATGCAAGATGCTGGTTCCCGGATCTATATTTTATGTCTGGTATATTTATGGCATTTTCCATTCAACTCTTACGGGATGACATGGGGTGATTAACAACCGTGTCGTGGTGGTATAATAATTATAATCGTCGGTCAATAAATAAAGTATCAACGAACAAAAATCGCGCCTTTCTTACGAATGACCAAACATTTAATAAAAACCGTATGAGTAAAGGAATACTGTTTGCCTAGTATTCTGTCTGGGTAGGTACCGCCGTTTTACTTAATTCTATCGCCAAATTACAGTGTTTACCTTGCTCTGTTCCGATCTGAAAAGTATAGAAAACCTGTACAATTACAGGCTATGAGGCATTCTATCTTAATCCTTAGAGGTGACAACGCTTCAGTAGCTTTTTTTGAAGTGTTGGCGGTAGGTGTCCATACACTGCCACTTACCATCGGGTGGACTGTTCTATGAAAAAAAAAATACTATACAACCAGTACTTAGTACAATAATAAATATTACAATTAATTTTTTTTAAAGCTTTACCTTCTTTTTTTTTCGAAAATATCCATTTTTTAATTTTAATTTTCTTTGAACTTTTAACAAAGTCGAAAAGTCTTTAAATATAATAAATATTTTTTTTTGATAAACCAGTATAAGAAATTACTTTTTCTCCCAAAAGCATTTGCAACTATACGCTAACCTATGGAATATCAATAATTTTAAATTATTTTTTTTTACACTTCAATATAAATTATTAAGAACAACTCAAATACTATTGGTCAGACCTTGATCAAAAATATATGAGACTACATGTGAAGCACCAGCTTTCAAATTAAGAAAAAATCATTGAGATCGGTTCACTCAGAAAAAAGTTATGAGGTATCACACATAAAAAAAGAAAAACATAGAGTCGAATTGAGTACCTCTTCTTGTTTGAAGCCGGTAGAAAATCACGTATACGTCGTAATTATCGTTTCAGCTATTTCAGACACTTATCTTAATATTTTAAATTTAAATATTCAAAAGCGATAAGCTCATCATTATAATTATTTATGTTTTGTTTATTTTGGTTTAAAATTTTTGAAAATACTTCAAAATATGCAAACTGCTGGCCTACTCCCGAATCAATCGAGTTCTGAATCAATGGTTTTTTATTCGAGCTCATTTAAATTTTAAACTCCCTCAACCTAACAGAATACGAATAGTGATTCAAATTGAAATTTTCAGAACGACATTGTTCTGCTGTCTGCTGCTAGATTGCTTTCGGAATTACAAGTGTCCAGAATGCTTTTCCTTGATTAATTTGTCCTATTTGTGTAATAAAATATTTATTAAGTACTTGATAATATATTAAAAATTATCTACGATTAATCAAGTAAGTTTTTAAAATCAGGTTCAAAATAACGTCATTTTGAATATAAAACCGAATCGAATTCAAAAACAATTTCGGGAGTGAGCCCTCTAATCTAACCATGTGCTATAAACTTATTACTTAAAAATTTAAACGAATATTACCTGTATTTTTCAGTATTGGTGGAATACGGTGTAGACAATTCCTGATACGGTTTGTACGGAAATCGCGCATTGTTTCTAACATTGTTATTGTATATTCCGAAAGGACTGTTGTATCTTCCATTTTCAGGGAAGCGGTTTCTTCCGGAATTCGCGTAGTATTCCCGGCGATAACGTCCATTATCTTCACTGCTAACAAAGCTTAGAGCAGCTAAAAAAATAATCTGAAAAATATGTTTTACTTGTTATTTTCCTTGCTTAAGTCTAATGGGTTTCACTAATAGTAGGAATTGTTTGTATTACGAGTAGTTAATCACATTCGTCAAGTAGTTCATCATTACAGAATATCTGCGATGCGAATTATATAATGTACACAAAAACTATTTTAATAATATTTCACTACAACACATATTACACTTACCGCCACAATCTTCATTTTTAACTAAGCCTTGTGGGACCTCGAGTGTCGAATGGTTAATCTGTATAAACAGCTATCGTTTTTATACAATCATCAAATTCCAAAATAAAGTATTTTTTACAACGATTATTTGGTCTAAGTTACAAAACATGCAAATTTTATTTGTCAAGTTGGCATTGACTATGGCAGATATGGTATGGACCTTAAAACAACAAGTAAACCATCGTTCACTACGCCCATGCTCGCTGTCAAATGATCTCGGAATAAATACTTCGTTTTACTGCCGATATATTTTAAATCAATATTTATTTTTCTTAAAAAGTACATTACATTTATAATACATAGTATTTTTTCATGTATTATGTAGGGGTTTAACATACATAAAATGCAAAAGAACTAAAACCACAAAATATACATAAAAATATATATAAAAATTCGAATTTCTATGGCAGTACAAAAATAGCGTTGCCCATTTTATTTTCTTTATAAGTATATTTTCAAAAAGATACATTTAACTATTGCTGATTATTTGATCAGCTATAAAGGGAATAACGTAAAGATGCTTCAAATATATACTTAATATATAAATACGTTACATATAATATAACGTAAATTGTAAGTGCATTGTATATTTTTGTGACAAAAATGATTGAGTGGGACTAAAAATATGTAATTAAATACATTTCTATCATTTTCCGAATTGTCTGTCTGTCTATTTGTTTATGAATATATCACGTCAAAAGTACTAACTTTTCAGGATCTCGACAACAGCGCAATCTACCGGGTCCAGTTGCGAATCTTAACCATCCAGAGACCCAATCAAAGATACATAAAACATTATATCAAAATCGGTCGGGATGTTTAGGAGGAATTCAGTGACAAAGACACGTATAGAGGAATTATATTATAATCATTTATATAAAGATTGTAACCATTAAGTGCATTTTACTCTTATGTCAAAAATCGCAATTAATAAAAATAAATTATTTAATAATTATTCTATAATGATATTATATTTATTACTGAAACACAGTAAACAAAAAATATGTTTATTTACAAAGATCTACGTAGTAACATTATTTAATCTATGGTAATACCATCTTAATTAGAAAAGGTGCAATAGTTAACCAATGTCATCGATAGTTATTGGTGTTGTGCAAATGCAAGTGCAACGCAAAAAGGCGGGTTGTAATTTTATTCCATGTAGATGTGTTTTTCTCCATAATTGCTGCTAATCTTTACATTATGTATACTCGTATTCGGAATAACTCATATACTTAGTGATGTAAAGCTATAATGTCAATAAAACTAAAGGTTTTTTTATGATTTTCAAATTAAAGATTTAAGTTGTACGAATATCTATCTATATATGGAAGAGTAAAACGTAAGATGTTCTTTTAAATTAAAAAGTAAACTAATAGTCTTTATACGTCCTTCTGCTGTCACCAGGCATATAATATGCATCTTCATGTTTCTAAAAAGGTTTTTATAATCGAGAAGAAGAATTAATTGCGCTGTCCCACAGCGTGTTGTCGAACTTCGAACTCATTTATTTACTTTTAAATTTTATAATGTAGGTTTGCTTGTCATGTTTTTCTTCATCACCGAGTATTTTAAATATTTACAATTTATGACACTACTACTATGCAGGTACTTATTTTCCAAACTGCCACGCACTTCCTTCCGTTATTAATTTTTAAATTGAAAAATGGATGTAAAGGTAATGCTCCCACTGACCTCTATATTTACAAGTACGCTGGACTGGCTATACCATACAAAATGCTTCTGCCAATTTGAAGCGCCCTCATTGTCCGTACGGGGAACTAAAATTAACAAAATATGCCAAAGTCTGTTGTGTTATTTAAGTGGTATCTCTGTGTTTTGAACTTTCAAACTTAAATGAAATTATTTTAATTGGTTTGATTATGTTTGATTTTAGTTACATAATAAGAATTATTTTTAGTAATAGTAAGTGTGCGTAATATATAAAACTTGACACCAAAAGGAAAGTGGGATAACATTCCACAAGTAAGTTAATTTACAGCTAATATTAAACAAATTAAATCTATTTGATAATATAGGTACTTAATAATTTGTTACTAATCTTAATATCGTAATTACCAACATGACGTTTGGCTTTATATTGCTGAGTTTTGATAAACAATAAATTTCAATAGGGTTGTCGAGTTCCTTGTCCATAATACTTATCGATGTTCTTTTATACCCATATCTGTTAACAACCAAAGTCGCCGATAACAGATAATTATCAAATGTTTATTAACTAACATGTTTCCAACTGAACCTAAACTAAAATTATGGCTAAAAAGCATAAAAATTGTTAATTGGCGTCCGAAACAAAATGATTATCTTTGTTCTAAACACTTCACAGACGACTGTTTTATTAGACATGAGAAACGCACCACTTTGAAAAATTGCAGTATACCCACAATATTTTATTGTGGTACCAGTACCAGTAAGTATAAAAGTAGATTTTATTGATATTATTTCGAATGTTTTTTTTTTTTATTTCTTTCCTCCTTATTTTCCTCCCAACTCAAGGGCCATAGACAAGTGTAGAAAGGTCGCCTGATGATGACTTTGTGTTTACAATACGTAAATTTGTTAAATCTGTTCAAATATGACCAATTTATTATATCAAGGGAATAATTTTATAATAGGAGTGCAAAATTATTAATATCCTTAGTGAGCTTGCATGAGTTAAGGCTAGAAATAGCTCCTCCCTAAACGGGTTTTCCCTCTTGTCGTGGCAATAGGGGGGGGGGGGGGGCGAATAGCCGTGGCTTAGTGGTTACTAAGCCACGGCTATTCGCCATGGTAAACGTAGGGCAACTCACATGACTGGCCTAAAGTGAAGGGCTGGCTCAAGGTCGCATCTATGAGTGGAATTGTCGAGCCCTTGGATATGTGCTAGTGGGTTGCGGCTAAAGAAGAGTCGTCTCCCTATATCGCTGCAGCGATGCGGCACTCGACTATCCTCCGCGGCATTGGCTACACCACTTGGTGCTGGTGGAGACCGTTGTGCAGGTGAAGTTGGAGGCCGTGAAGGGCAGTGTGCCTTGTGTGCTTTATCTGAGAAGGAAAGGGGGAGGAGAAGTCCTCAACTAAGGAGGGGCTGCTATTGAGCGGTTGGCGCTGGTGGGGCCGCGGATGTGTTTAAAAGCGTTTAAGTGGCCCTGCCAATTAAAAAAAAAGTGCGGTGTAGGTGGAACAGCATGGGGTTTTAATAGGTGCGAGTCCGACATAATCCGTTCTTGCCCCCGCGAAGCGGGTATGCGTAGGCATTTCCTCATTTGAAACCTGGAACACAATCCGTTATGTAGTTACGAATAAAAATATAATAAAATACTGAAATTTCTTAAAAATTTATATATATAAATTTTTAAGAAATTTCAGTGTTTTATTACATCTTTTCATTCACTTTTGAATTTTTTTTAATATATATTTTTATTTGCAAAAACTACATTTTTAACACGTCTTATAATTTTCTTTTAAAAATATCGAAAGTGAGATTTCGTTTATATCGGATAAACTTAATACCGTAAATGAATAGCTCATTTGCCATCATTTTATTTAGTTTAGCACCTAAGCCGTACATTTAGTTATATATTTTATTTCTATATTTTTTAAATTTACCGGCAGGTGTCACGGTTTTCTTTTAATATATATCCTCCAAATCTTTACAATGGTACTCGACTCAAATTAAGTTGTGTCTTAAAATAACATAGTGGACTGCTGATACTTGCGTTTTATTCACGATTTAGCTATAGTTGGAAACACTAACACTAACTTTACAATATCAATAAACAACACGACTGAAGACTAGGAGCATTACTATATGACTCAAAAAAATGTCAAAAGAATTATATACTCTTCTCCTTATGGGCCTCTCCCACTGCAGGAGTGATTTGCCATATTTGGCACAGTTGGCAGGCAGATTAATGATCGTTATACAATACGTATCACACCTTTCACTTGGTGTCCGAAGCCGGTCACCAAGTCAAAGAGTTCTGGTTGAGTTGGAACGGTAGTGTTATTTATAAAATGTACTCAATTACGTCGAAAATAATAAGACTTCAAAACAAATAATTTACTAACAAAGATTCTATATGGACGAAATTGCGGGCACGACTAGTTAATAAATAAAAAATTTATACTTAAAAGTATATTTCTAAATATTTATTCATACTGTTGACAAGTTTTAATAAAATCTTAAAAAAATTGCAATTTAAGATGATTTATAATTTAGTCAGTATTACGTAAATAAACTTGCGTTTATTAGTTTAGTCTAATTTTAATTATACTTTAATATGTATCTAAACCAATTTCAATTTTACTTACACGTATAATATTTTAAGATGATATTATCATGATCAATTAAAATAAGTAATTATGATTTTACTAATCCTCTATATGCACCTGCATATTATATTATGTACTACTTTTGTTTAGTGTGTTCGGTGAAAAGTTAAAATGGCGTAGTGATTTGAATTCATATGAACTGTGAGAGAAACAGTATGGGCTCAAATCAGCATTTAGGGTTTTGAATCCAGAGCAGAGCCGATAATTTCATCATAACTTTTAATAATAAGTCTTTACCTGTGAAATTGCAGTACTGGCCATTTCAAATCAAAATAGTTTTTGTTTGGCTTATAATTCTAATTTCAAATTAATTTTATTTCCAAAAAAATGGAATTATTTTTTCACAATTTGTCAAACGAATACACACGAAGGAATTTTAAACTATTACAAATCAATATATGTATATACAGACATACAGATCTACATTTTTTGATTTTAATATTTTTGAGTTTTTGAATTTTAATCGATTTTTGAAACCTGGTATAATTATTCATTTTTCCATACCCATTGATGGGACAGAGAGTATAATACCAGTTGCGCACTTTGGCTAAAGTTATTTTTTATTTTATACACAATTGCAGACAAAACAATCTCTTAAACAAAATTTTACCTCTTCTCCTTCTAATAGCTCCTGCGTC